TGCTTCACATCGTGGCTGAGCTCACGGAACGTCCTGCGACTGTGGCCATGACTGGACTGCTTCTTGCCTACGGGGCTGATCCTGCCATTGGAGGCACTGGACTGATTAAGTTGCTGGTAAATATTTTTTTTTTTTCGCGCTATTGATATTTGTAATACGGTTGAGCCTCCCGAAGTCGATTTTTTTTTTCAAGTCCCGGTCTGAATTCTCTTGGAAAAAATTTACTGTATTCAAAACCTCTCTAACTTGAAGGCTTTTCCTTTTAAAACTCTACAACTCGAATTTCTCAGGCCGTCTAAATGTTATTTTCGTGACACAGAAAAGAGAAAAGCAACAAAAAAGTAACTCAATGTTTTTTGAAAGGAAGTGAAAGACCAAATGGGCAAATGAACCCTTGCCTCCAAGTTTGAAATCCTTTCAACTCATTTGAGAAGCAATTCAAGGCCCAGAATATCACCAATTATAATTTCCTGTGATTCTTCTCTCTTTCCCTCTAACAAAATGCTCGTTTCCCTAACTCATAACCTCCCTGGCTCAAAAAAAAAAATTTTCTGGTTCCTTTGAAATTCAACTTTAAGATGTTCGACTTTAATTGTGTAGTTTTCCAGTTTCACGAATGCTGAAGAGACGCTGTACGTAACGGTAGACGTCGAATGTAAATTGAACACAATCCAAGATGCAATATATTTGTTTAATGCTCTTCTGACGTTTTTGGTTCACCGGCTTGCTTCTGGCGAAAAACTGACCGAAATTGGGAGTTTTGCATACCTTTTTTTATGGCTTTTCCGAAAGATCGTTGTACGGTAGACGATTAGTTTTTCAACAAGAAGAATTTTATTGATTGCTCCCAAACTTAACGAAAAATCACCGAAGATTTGCTCTTTTCGAGCGCTGGATTTAAATTGTATGCTGTTCCGCAAGGTTGAAACCTTGCCGCTAGATTCAGCTTACCGTATTTTCAACTACACTTCTGCATGTTTTTTTGTTTTGTTTTTTTCATTTTCAAGTTCAGTTTGACAGTTACCGATTGGTTGATTGTAATCTCTTTTTTTTTTCTTTTTTCGCAGCAGGACAAGAACAAATACGTGCGTCCGAACTCATTTCAGCTCGGCTAAACTGGACTGCTGCCAAAAAAAGAAGGGAAATATTCGGAACGCTGCGAGAAGGGGAAAG